AATGCTGTGGTTTCCTTATCAGTCCACACATGTGTGTCCTCTCACTGACCGTCACCACAGACACAGTTCCGGACCTGACACGTCTGTCATTACAGAAACTAACACTTTGACATAACATCATCAAATATTTGAACTTTTTATTTCCACTCTGCCTTAAATGAGATGATAAAAAACCCACATATAAAACAACATAAACAGTTGTTCTTTCAGCTGAAGAATCTTTCCAGATCAATACAGTTACAATACAATAGTTTAAAAAAAATAAACAGACTCCATGATGTAAGGATGTGTGTGTGTGTGTGTGTACCTGTGGGGGGGGAGGTGATGAGGGGGGGGTGTTTGTCCATGTTTTTCATGAAGTCCTGGGTCATCCTCTCCAGCTCTTCGACCTCCTTCATGTTCAGAGGAACACCTCCACCGGGGATAGAAACTGGGCCAGGAGGTGGATGCTGATGGACACACACACACACACACACACCATCACACACACACACACATTAGTTTATACAATATTTACTGTGTTTTATTCAGCGTCGACCCGGTTCTTATTTATTATTGAACATTAAAGAACTTTCAGTGCACGAGAACGTACCATCGACGCAGGCGGGGGTTTGGATGGAGGGCTAGAAAAGGAGGGTGGCGACCCCGCGGTCTTGGGTTGAACAGGAGGAGGAGCAGCAGCTGCAGGAGGGTTCTGGTTCTGGTTCATGTTCAGCTGAGTGGAAAACGGAGAACTCTTCACGTGGTTGGTGGAAGGAGCTGCTGCTGCTGTGCTGTTTGGTGGAGTGGGAGGTGCAGGAGGCGCAGGGGGCGCTGCAGGCGCTGGTGGGAAAGCGTTGGAGGCAAAGGGAGGTGCAGGTTTTGGTGCTACACTGACTGGAGCGGAGGTCTGGTTCAGGTTCTGGTTCAGTTTCTGGGCCAGAGAAGCAGAGGAGCCCCTCCCACTGAAGCTGGTCTTGGGCGCCACCGCTGGAGCTTTGGAAAACGGCTGAGCAGCAGAGTTCGGTCCGGAGCCCTGACTGGCGTTCCGGTTGGTTCTGGCTTTGAGTTCTTCGGCCCACGGTGCCGGAGGTGGGCGGTCTCCCATTTCAGGCGGTGGTAGGAAGGACAGGGCCGGTTTGGGAGCCGTCGGAGGAGGAGCTGAAGGCTTTGGTGCTGGTGCAGAAGAATACTGGCTCGGTAACTGAGGACGAAAAACAACAAGATGAAAAGAACTGACAGTTTTACAGATTAATAATCCCATCATTTGGATTAGTCACAGATAAAACCGTGTGAGAAACACTGACCTCTAGCTGCTGATGTCGGTCTGACAGTTTTGTTGTCTTTACATATTAATAATCATTTCACCTGGTACTTTGTTGAAAACTCAACCATCCCCTGCAGTTCTCCATTTATACCTGAGGGTGGAGCCAACATCAATCTGCTCTGATGCAGAAACCTCTCCATTTATGGGCCTTTCACTCTGTTCCTGGTCGAACACGTCAGCTTCATCTCACTCTCATGATTGTCACCCGGCTCTCTCCGTGTGTGTGTGTGTGTGTGTGTGTTTCTCTGACTTTCTCCCAGTGTGAATCACCAGTTAGCTCACTTCTTGTTTTCTCAGTCAGTCTGGTTTGTTACAGTACGTACTTCACTGAACACAGAGCTCTCAGCCCGACACGTGACAAACTACGACAGACCTTAACTCTTTACACAGAAAGTGTGACGTAAAATTCAATCAGATCAACTGTTTGGCAACTGAAAGGTCAGATTTATATCTACATCCACGCTGGTGGAACGAAGAACCTCCTGAAGACTCAGACTCTGAAGAATTCCTCTGTTTACCCTGATCGTTAATCTTCTTTGTTAATCTTCTAAGTCGCTTTGGAACAAAGCATCTGCCAAATGCATGAATGTAAATGTGATGTCGTGAATATTTCCTCGTGCTAACTCCGTCTGTACCTTTGGGTTAAAGGGTCCTCTGGTCTCCATCTCAGACAGTAGGTCAGTCAGAGAGTCCAGCTGTTGGTCAAAGCTGCTCTGCTTCTCCATCTGTCTCTGAAACAACAAACAAACAAAACAGGAGATGAAACAAGTCACTCAACTCAAGTCAAACTTAAAATGTTTAAATTGAGGCTCTGATTAACTACAGTCCTTGTAATTAATGAATCTCCATCAGTCTGACTCTTATCAAACTAACAGATTTGACATAATTAGAAAAGTTACTCTGGTTCACTGTAGCAGCTGTCGTTAGCTCTATAATTACCTGTGTGTTCAGGACCACACTTGTAGTTGATGAAGGGAGAGGCGGAGGGGGAGGAGGGGGAGGGGGCGAGGGGCAGGTGGGCAGACATGCACTCTCTTCAGGGGGTGCCGGGAGGGGCAGATCATCTGCCACTGGAGGTGGCGCAGGGAAGGCGGGAGGGGGAGCTTCAGTGGCACAGGGCGAGGTCTGACATTCAGGGGGGGGCTCGGGCAAATCATCGTCCAGAGGAGGAGGAGGTGGAGGAGGAGGAGGGAAATCTGAGCAGGAGAGAAAGAGGACGGGGTTAAAATCTGAGACCATGTTAGACATCCATCAAACACCAGTTAGACAGCAGGAGTACCAGTGACAGACCAGCAGCTTTGGTGACATCATCACCTGGTAAAATAAACCATAAAAACAGATCTTTGATGCTGTTACATGTACTCATGTCTTGTATGTAAACCAACAAGAAGACGGGGCGGCACAGCTAGAGAACGTTCATCTGCTCCTCTCTGCTCTCAGAGCTGCAGGGCGAGCACCGTCAGACTCCGCCCCCGTCTCAACCTCAATTCCAGGACTTGTCTTTACAGGAGAGCTTTTGCAACAAAACTGACTTGGTTTTGTACCAGCAGCAGCTGGATGTGGGTCAGGGAGAACTGCAGTCTGGGATACTGGAAACACATACCATCGCAGAGTGAAGTTGGTGGTGGAGGCAGATCTCCCACTCGACCAATCACACCAGTGCCAACTGGCGTCGGGGACGGCGCCAATGGAGGGGTCTGGCTTTTGGGTCGAGGCGGTGCTACAGAGGCAAACTTCTTTGGCTGGTTGTAGAAGGATGGGGTGGTGACCTTAAAGTTCAGAGAGGACGTCACCATGTATGGCTTGCTGCTGTTGGAGTTCTCCATTTTCTGATGTTGAAATCTGTCGACAAACACAATTAACATCAACTGTAAGATCACGTACAGTACAATATATGTTTACTTCATCACTTTCTGCACATGGTCAAACAAAGACTTTTCTTATTACTGCAGTACTTCAAGCCTAAGAAATTGAACATCATGTTAAGTAACACAATATCATAATGGCACAATTATTATTATACTTAATCCTTTGAAAAGCTGTGATTTTTCAGCTCATTCCAAGGGCTTTTCCTTTTTTTTTATCCAACCACAAAACATTAAAGAAAATACTGCAGTACTGGTTTAATAACTGCAAAGTCTGTCGGACTAAAAATGGATGATGCTTCACAGCATCAGCTGACTGGAAGGGAATGTCATTTGGGTGAATGAGTGGAATAATAATTACATTCTTCACACGAGTTTGTGGTAAAAACTGGTGATGAAGATAAATGGATGGAAACGTGTGCGTAAATTTCCACACAGCGACCACAGGGGATCGGGGTTACGTCGTACATTCACGTCCAAGAAGTCAGCGATAAGGTTTGGAGAAAGAGCCAACTTTCATAACAGTTTCATGTGAGCTGCGTCACAGAGTGGGTTTGTTCAAATATTTACCTCACACATTCTTCTGTTAAAAAAATGTTGATGCTATTTCAGCGTCGCCGATGAGATTCCTTGCTTAGTCTGAACATATTTCCCTGAAGGCCGTAGGGCCTCAAACATAACCTTTGGTGTGGACCACACAACCCACCCCACACACACACACACACACAAGGATACGGAGCAGCAGTAAAGTACTAAACAACGGCTGTGTATTTGTTATGATACCGTTGGTGACTTTACGACAGGTCGACGTTAAACATTTACAGTTTCAGCTCAGGAGGAAACTCCAGTAAGACTCTGTTCAGGTGCTACACGTGCCAGCGTTAAAGATTTTATCAGATCATTTAGCTGTGGATAAATTAATCCAACCGTCTCCATTTAAAGACAGCTCCCCCCACCCTCCCGTTCACACATTTAAACTTCACTGAACTTCTTTAAAACACTGATATTGTCATTACTGGCACTGTTGAAGTACGTCAATCTCTGCTGCCCTCTTCACGCCCCCCACTTTGGGAACCATTTCGTAACAGTTAAAGACAAAATCACCAGAACGTGCCTGAGTGTTCAAGTTCTGACAGGACGGAGAACCCTCGCAGGATTCCATCCTCCGTGAAGCTCGTGACAACAGCAGATACAGGAGTGATAAGAAGAACTGCTTCTGTTTTTCAAACCAGATTCTTTGTCATGTTCAACAATAACAACGTAAATGGTCAGACTAGATTTTTAGTCTCTACAGGTGAAGATCACTGCCCTCCTCAAAGACATGAGTATTCCCGAAGAAAAAAATACTACAACTAAAACGTTTACTTTAATCCCACTGGTACATGAACCAGTCAATAAACACTCTGCTGCTGTTCCATCTGAACATCAGTTCCTAACACTGGAACAGAGGGATCTACATTTGGAATCACTAGAGAAGAAAGATCAATATCCATATGATATTGTAAAATCAAACTAATAATAATAGAATCACTAGAGAAGAAAGATCAATATCAATATGATATTGTAAAATAAAACTAATAATTCAGTGTATCAATATTTTGTTGTAAAAAATAAAGTGATTATTATTCTAAAGTATCAATCACAACTACTATTAAGTATGAAACAAATTTTTCTTTTGTAGTATTCGTCTATAAACAAAAGATGGCGCTAACATGACAGAAGACAAACTCGGTGATTTAATCATTTTCAGGCTGTGAATTTGTAGCAGACTCCTGTATTAAAACTGAGTGAGTGGCCACTAACGCCGGCTTCTTCACCATGAGTGGGGTGGACCGTTAACATCAAGACTCTCGTCTTTAAATAAGACTTCCAACTCAGAACCTCAACAGTACTCAGAAAGGCTGCACTCCTTAATGAATTTCTACAAGAAGTACTTGACCCAAAGTGCCTCTGCGGCTTCACTGAGATTGTGGGGTGGTGTTTTTTTTTCTTTCTTTCTTTTTTTTCTTTTCTCTGAAACCATATGATCTAAATTATTCAACGATTATAATAACCAGTGGTCAGGTTCCATCAGTTTCTTGATGCGCCCTGAGGGACTGGAAACGGTGAGATCAGCCGGACTCTTGGACCCCACAGTCCCACTTCCAATCTGTCTTGAAACCCGACCCTTGTGAAGAAAGAGATCTTCAGCTGAGGGACGTATCGAGCGCTGCAGCTGGATGACATCACCCTTTTCAGTTGCACTTCAACAAACTGCCTCCTTCTGCATTTATTAACTTGTGCAACAAACTCATAACAACCAGAGTTAACCCTTAATAGTACAAATGATTTCTTTTTAAATGAATGTACACACAGTGCTTGGCATCAATGACATCATCAGGCCACACTACCATTTACGCAGTCACACCATGTGGCTTTTACAAGCTACAACATTGGTCCCAAGCTCACGTCTGAGATCGACGCCCCAGTTGGTTTTCATTCCATTCATCGAGGACTGACTTCCACATGGGCTGGAGAAAAACAAGGGTCATGAGCCTTTAATATTCAGGAGTATAAAAAACACCATGTCTGTGGTCATGGCTGAGGCTTCTCAGGTACAGAACCTTTGTTTTCATGCAAATAAGTACAAGTATATCGGAACAAATATATATTTAATGAAATCCTGGACAAAACATCACTAACATGAAGTGTTTGTGTATTTTGTTTTTCCTACTTTCTATCTTCATCCAGTGGGCCGTATCAAACCCCCTATAAGCAGGCCGGTTTTAGCCTGTGGGCCGTATGTTGGACACCCCTGTAGCAGATGTACGTCTTGAAAACAGGAACACCGTGTACAAAAAGGTATTTCCATATTTTTACACCAAGTTCCTCTATCAACCTGACAAGAACCTGAGTTTCAGACGGTACTTCCAGTAACTGCTCTCATATCACGAAGATCATTACATCTGGGACTGCTGCACCGTTTACCAACTTCTCTATTGTTCTGACAATAATAGCAGTGTCCCTGGGAGTGTGTGTCTGCACTGAGGCCTGCGATGGGCGGGGGGGTCGGGAGGGAACACGACAACCCTTCTGTGTAATCATGCGTGACGAACCAGCGTTCTGTAGGACGGCAGATGAAGAATGATTCAAAGGCAACATTTCCAAACTTCACCTAACTGGTACTGTTTGAATGTTTATATGAGGAACTGATTCTGCTGTAACTAAACACTGACAAACATACGACAGTAATCAACACAGGACACAGGCCTTAACTGCATGTGTGCTTTGACTCATGGAGGCTTCGATTCCTCGTGACAACACTCAGAGATGGCAGCAAACAACCAATCACAGCTGCCGCTTCTTGACAGATTCCTTTGGCATCACTCACTCACTACGACATCATCGACTATAATCCCAGGCTGTTGAAGCAGACAAACCACACCAGCCTCAGCCTATAGCCTCCTCACCATAAATCATCTTGAAAATGTTTAACCAGCAGCTGCGGACTTAGACTCCTGTCTTAGCTTCTGGATAAAAATGGAAAAAACAAAGAGGAACGGAGACTCTGTCGGACAAGTCTTTACACAGACCATAACTATTTCTATTGCAGGCTTATTCATGCATATTCACCAGGATGTTCTTGTTTCTGAAGTCTGACCAAGGACAAAGCACATAAATGAAATTACAGACATCTACGTTGACGTCACGTCCAACTAGCAAACAGCTAAATATTAATGTGAGCACATTTCTAGATGCTATTTTAATTCATAAAGAACCCGACTTTAAACAGATAACACGTCAATCTCATGTCTAATCTGTGGAACAGCAGAAACAGCTGCTGACTGGTTTCCTAAAGCTAAAATTGATGACGTCGTCAAATGTTTCGTTTTGTTTACAAACCAAAGACATTCTGTTTTTCTGGTTGTTATGGAGAAGCCAGGAAACCAAAAACATTTACATTGAGGTTTGCTGGTAATCAGAGAACACTTTAGAAAGTTGGACATCACTGAGTCATTTGCAAATTGTTAGACTGTTTGAATAAAAGCAAAGCTCGAATGGATGCAGTTGGAAAGTCCATTTTATGAATTTGCTGGTAAAACTGTTTGTTTGAATATATTTTGCAGCCAGATCTAAAACATGTGATAAACTAGCAAAACCCCTCTAAATATAAAAAACTAAATTTAAAAAACTGCTGACAGATGACAAAGTCCATAGTTATTTATACAGTGAATATTGATAGATATTTAAAAATATATATATTTTTGGAAGATCTCTTAATCATACAGTTCCCGTCGTTGTCCCCTCCTGGCTCCCGTAGTTAACTAAAGAATTAACTGGATTGTATATTTTTAATTAAACAGTATTTGTTTTACTTTTTTATTCTATTTTTAACCATTGATTTAATTTTGCAAACCCGAAGAAGAACAAAAGAAGAAAAATGAGACGAAGAAATGTAGTAGAACAAGAACGAAGAGAATGAAAAGAAGACAGAAAGAAGAGGAGGAGGAAGTGGAGGAGAAGAAGAATTTTAGGTGAACTTGACTAAAACAACAGGATCATCCATCAACGCCCCCCAAATACCTGAGCAACAACAGGCTCCAGATTAAAGCCAGCTGTTAGCTAACGTCTGACACCGCGCTGTCAGAAGAGACTGACTGACAGCGGGGGGTAAATCACCTCCATGTTAGCCTTTCACTGTAACTGGTCGAAGCTAACATCACACTGAAACAGCAGCAGCTGATGCTAAACAGTGTCACATCACAGTTTGTGCCAACATGAATCGCTAGCCCCTGTGTTAGCATGGGTGCGTTACGTCTGTATTCCTCCCTCGCAGCCTTTAACACACACACGTTAGCCCCGGGAACTCTGCTCACCTACAGGTGTGTCGTTCACCTCAGGAGAGGAATGTCAGGGTGGATAAAACAAACGCTAATGTCAGCGTCGGTAAACAGCAGCGGCTAAAGCTAAAGTATCAGTAGCTACGGGTTTTTTTCTCCCTCTTTTTTTAATCGCCGCCCCAGTTTTCTGTCTTACCTCACACGGCCTCAGTGAACTGAGCCCCGCAGATGAATGAGCTTCCAGCGGCACAGCTAGCTACGCAGGTTTATTCAACTTTTTTCTGGGTCTCGAGCTTCCGCGTTGCTCGCTCCTTATCAACCGCTGGGGTAGACACCTTCCTAGACCAAGTCCAGAAACATTTATCACACAATGGACACCGACGCAGACCAGAGGAGATGGCGGAACACTGCCCACCGAGAGGCGTCAAGTCTGCGAACCTCCCTATGAAACGTCAGATAAAACATCTGCCATGTTTCATTCCTGGAGGTGTTTCCTCAGCCATCAGTGAATGACACGGAAATGTGCTCTGTCACGATCCATGCCCTGACTAAAGATTTGTTCTTTACCTTATTAGGTAACCTGTAGAGGTCTCTCTACTCCTGCCCTCCTCCTCTCATCCAAACCATCTCACAAAAAGTAGGACACACTACAGTACGTAGACAGTACCTCCTCTGGTACTGATTAAACACAGACATCAGAACTCACCCTGGTCTGAAGCAGCTGCAGTCAGGCTGTACTTTTCTTTCCTTCCTCCTTTTTGTCCTTTTTTTTTTCCTCCAGCAGATGCAGCAGAGCTCTGACTTGTGTCTCCTCTGGTCACTCCTCTCCTCTCCTCCTCTCTTCTCTTCTCCCCACCTATTAACCTAGACCCTCCTTCTGTACTTTTCAGCCTGGAAAAGGAATGACACCATACTTCCAAACAAGTTTCTTCTTGTTTGACTTGGGCTCAGGATTCGTGTAGGACTATGTAAACAGCACCCCTCTTTCTCTCCTTCTCCCTCAGACCCCTCCTTCTCCTGCTCTCTTCTCTCCCTCTCTCTGGATTCTCGCAGCATTCTTCATTCGGTGACATCAACCCTGTTGCCTTCTCCTTGTAAGGTCAGGCTGAGGGAATGACTAAGCCACAGGGAGGGAGGAAGGGAGGAAGGGAGGGAGGGAGAGATAATGGGGCTCCAGGCCTGATTAGATACAGACAATGAAGGCGGTCAGGGGTTTGAGCACGCCGCGGTACGGTGGCTGAAGGAACCTTCGGGCTGGATGCTGCTGCTGGTGGTGGTGGAACTGAACTTTGAGTTTGAGGAGGAACCCAGATGAGATGTTGATGTGGTTCTGTTCTCTTCTCTGGTGAAGTCACACTGCAGAAAGAAACACCAAATTCAACACCATAAACTTCCTTCCTGACCACAATCTAATCAAGAAAGTAAAAGTCAAAATTGAAGTTTTATCTTTTAGATATACTAAAAAAAAAACACACAAAAAAAGATGATGCAGCCCCAAGCCACGTGTTAAAAGTTCAAGACTGGAGGGCTGCCAGTTTGAATCCTGTAAGGGCTGTGATGTTTTGATCACACCCTGTAAACGGATCAACTAAATACAAAGTGTAATTTAGGAAAAAACCAACAGTTTATGATGAAGTGCTTCTTTTTTCACAGAGTTTCTGGAGGGTTCAAAGTAGCCAGTGATGTCATGGTGCTGTCCTCAACTCTGTCCTGTTCTACAGGTGTCTCCTGGCAACAAGTCTGGTCCAATCAGGATCAAGCTGTTAGGACAATGCAGAGGTTATTATCCTCAACTTAGTGTCATAAATAACATCTGCTGCCCTACACACCTTATGACACTATGACATCACACTGCTTTATAGCAGACGCACGGACACACGCACTTGCGTAAGCATATTCACATGAATTCACACACACACCCAAATAAGGACAATTTAGTTCTTTTGAAAACACTCTCTCACCTCTTTAGACTGTGAAACACTGCAGGATGGTAAAAAATAATAATAATAAAAAAACAACAGAATCAAAAATAAACTGATTGAACTTAAGTCTGTGTTTCATCCAAACGTAGCACAGATGAAACGGTGATATTTTTTTTTTTCAAACGTATGGATCAGATGTAGATTTTCTCACGTCTTCTTCTGCCTCTGGACTTTACTGCTGACCAGGTTATGATTACCTGAGGAGATGGACTGTAAAACTCAGTGACACAGAAATGTTCGACTTATTTCCAACTCACAGTATATACCAGTCTGCGTCCCTCGGCCTCTGTGAGTTGCATAACAAGTGATTACGAGATAAAGAGCACGTGGACGTGAGGTGTGATTCACTGCCCACTAAATTGGTCATGACGCTTACAAATGGCCGACACCCAGGTTGAGCCACAGCAGGGTTGCATTTGATGAGGTTGTGAAACTGAAGTCAGGTTTTGGTCGAGCTCCTCTGCTTTCCTCCTGCTGCTGCTGCTAAAACCCCGTTTTTCCAGATTTATGTCGGTGAAGGACAGGAAGTGGCCCTCTGTTCTTTCATAGCCTATTGTCCTTCATGGAATGTTCCAGTCACTGGGACTGGGAACAACAGTGTGTTGTGTTAAAGTGTGTTGGATTACCCTTTGAATTTTTCCACATCATTTTTTTTTGCAGCCTAATTTAGAAGCCTTTTCCGTGCATCACGTAAAAGCAGAGAATTGTGTTTGTTTGTTTTAAATTTCCACCAACCCATGGTCAAAGTCTGGACTCCTGGAGGAACAATGGGGATAAGGAAGAACACATGTGGAACATTCTTGGGGCATATTTCAGCGCTTCGCTGACACTGGGTGGTACTTGAGTGAAAAGTTTGGATCAGGCCGGCAGAACGCAGCTCCAGTGTCCAGGCATCCTGGAGGTAAGACAAGAAAAAAACATGAAGTTGTCAGAATCAGAGCCAGACGCTGTGGAATGCAGCCAAACCTTGAATCTAGCAGTCCCCCCCCCCTCCAAAACCCCCACCATGGTGTTTTTTTCACTTCAACTCCACCCTTTCATTTTTCTGCCAGCTTGTCATTTCACTTTTATTTCCCTTTTCATCTTTCTTTCCTTCTTTCTCTTGTTACCCCCCACCCCCCCCCCCCCCCCCAACCCCAACTACCCACTAA